ATTATTATTATTATTATTATTATTATTATTATTATTATTATTGTTATTATTATTATTATTATTAATTATTATTACTAGTTTTAATAATCATCAAATACATCTATGAACGATTAGGCATTATTACTGCGAATATCTTCCAATTTTGTTTTGAAATTTTGATAATCATATAAACAATGATATATTTACAAAAATTCTTCTTTCTTTCTTTTCCTTTCTTCGAAATCTCTCTCTCTCTCTCTCTTTCTGTCCCTCTCAATTCATTCAATCATGAATTGTTTACTGTCGAAGTTTTGTCTTTTTTTTTCATTTTGCTTAGTTAATAAGAAAGAATAAAATTTTTTTCCGAATTTCTGAGCGATTTTCTTGAAAATATTATTCTAAAATGCATATTTCAAACTTCGATTTCGTTAAAAAAGAAATTAATTATACAAAATGAATTGATTGGAAAAGAGAAGAAAACAGAAAGAGATAGATAAAGAGAGAAAAGAGAGAAAAAAAAACGCAATACAAATATTCAAACAGTACTTTGTATTCACTCAACCATTTCATTTATTATTCTTCTAAAATCATACGATAAATACAATGTGAAATAGACTGATTGATCATTTATTTGTTTACTCAATAAAAGATAGAAGCTATTGGAATAAGAAAGACAAAAAGTAAACAAAAAAAAAAGAATTTGGAAAGAATTTTTTTAATAAAAATAAGAATAGAAAAATTTTAAAGAAGAAAGTAAACAGGAACAGAAAAAAAAGAAAATGCATTTACATATTCATTGAATGAGAATGAGCAAAAGAAAAATAAACAAAAATTACTTAATTTTACGAATGTATGCTTAAATAAATTTTCCTTTTTTGTTAGATTTTTAAATGAGTTAATAAACTTGTTTAATTAAATTAATTATGGAATAATATGATGCATTTTTCTAAATGATTAGATGGCTGAATTTTGATGAATGATCATTTTCATGCTAATTTAACATTAATGTGGCATTTATTTAATTAATTAATTAAGACATAGCTAATTGATAATTAGCAATGTAATATATTCCGATGCCTCAAAACCTCATCTTATCCCAATATATTTGCACAAAAGAGGAAAAGGAAAAGAGACTGAATCAATTTTTCTGGTTAAATATGAAATAAAAAAAATAATTAATACCGTTCTGGGAAAAAAAAAAAACAATCGACAAATATTGCAAAATTATTGATGTACGCGAAATGTATTATTTTAAACTTCGTAAGTTAATTCAAATTAAATTATGAATATTACTCAAAATTATTTCTAACGATATTGTGAAAAGTGATAAATTATCGAATTAATTATAAATAACAATTCATACTAATTGATTAAACTAATAATGTTAAAATTTAAAGGAAAGCAAATATAATGTATTTTACATAGCTTTTCATGAGAAACTAATGACGATTAAATCAACAAAACAAGTTCGTCTGTTTCCAATTTATCAAATTTTAAACTTTCATTTCGCACTTAGAAATATTAGCCGCTTTTTATCCTCACTTAATCGTTCATCGACATATGCGCATAATGCTTCCGCTTAACTAACATAAATTATAACAGCTGTATCTTTCGAAAGGAAAGGGCAAAGGCTAAAACGTGGAAAAGTTAGACTGTTTACTTATGTGAATTAATTAGTGTAATTATCTGCAGTTAAGTAGTTCGCACCAAAAAAAAGAAAAAACAAAATGAAGGACAAAAAGAATGTTCAAAAAATTGAACACTTGCTCATTTTGAAATTAATTTAATTTTCAAGTTTACAGATGATGAAATAAATTTCTTCTTCCTTAACTGAACTTCATTAAAAAATTAATCGAAGTGGACAATGTGTTTTTTTTCTCGTGTTTGAAAATATTGGCAGAGTAAGTGCTGTTTAGGTAATTTTTTTATTTTGCTTTAATAAAGTTCGAAGGATGTGACATCAAAAAAAAAGTTCGGATGAAACAATAAATAGTAATAAGGAAATTGAATCAACTTTGTTTTAATTCACTAATTGATGAATGTACCATTTTAATGAGCAACAAACAAAACAAATTAAAACTGACAGTTGACATTAAAAAGAAATACAAAAATTCTTCACGCTTTTTATTTTTTTGCACTCCGTGATTAGATTTTGTTAATTAGTGACTTTTTACGAATGAGGAAAAAAAATTGGGACATCCGGTTATTAGCCAAATATTCGGATAAGCTAAACATCATTAAATATGGTAGCTAATCAGATATTTGTCCATATATCAGAAATAATATTTGAAAGACAAATGATAACAGATATCTATTAGTAGGAAGATAGAAAAGAAATTGAAAATGCATAAACTATATTTGTACATTTTTTTCTTTAACGAAAAAAATATATGACAATAAGAACGAAAGTATTGATACATTGAAGAGATCACAGAAACTGATAAGATTTTTAAGATGTGATATCATTGATAACAGTGAATATACTAGTGAGCTAGAGTAGTTTATTAAAATATGGTGAAAATGCTTGAAATAATTTATTTGCATTTTATGAAAGTATTTACACTTTTTGGGATTTTTTGGAATGTAAACAAATAAGCATAAATAAATAAATAAGCAGGAAATTATATTATCGGAAAGACATTTATGCAAAAAAAGAAGTAAAAATTATAAAAAATTAATTTTTGGAATAAGTATTAGCCCAATGCAATAGCGAATTCAAAAACATATAACTAATAACAAAAAATAAGCCAAATATTTGTCAAGCAATTTTTTATCTTTTTTTTTGGAAGAATTTGATTATGCTGGAGAAAGAATATAAGATTTCCATATATTATTTATTTAATATTTAATTATTTTCACATATATAAATAAGTTGACAATTTGTTCAACATAAATATATCAAAATATTCAAAATTATGGTAATTTTTCACTATCCTCACTGCAAAAAAGGGAAAGAGTATAAAATTTCATGAAATTATTTATTTACTTAATTTGTCTTTCATACATATTTGTTTATTTTATATAATAAATTTAACAAATTAAAAAAACTATCATTAAAAAAAGTCAGAAAAAAAATCATTTGTTTGGCATTTTAAACAGCAATAATTAAATGATTGATTAATTTTAGTTACATTTGTAATTTGTAATTATCTACAAAGAATTTGTCGTCTAAAATATCATTCTTATCAATGTCATTCATTTCAAGTTCTTCAATGATGATATTATTACAGGACCGATCGGGTGATGCGATAAAATATCATTCCTATCAGTATCATTCATTCATTCATTACAAATTCTTCCCTGCTGATATTATCACAAGACCGATTGGGTGATACGTCTTTTCCTACTTCCTTGTGTATATGTAATATTAGTTGGCAGTGATTGTCTGAAAATGCCGAAGGTAAATCGAGACAAGGAAGTATGTCTATTGTCTTAATTTTCTTTTCTTTTTTTTATTACTATATTCATTATTATAAATAATACATTTTATAAAATAAATTGATAATTTAATTGAATTACTTTAAAATACTTTAATAGTTTTATGCAATTTTATATATTAATTAAATGTAATTTTTTGATTTTTTTTAAAATGTATTATAATTAAATATTGAAGTAAAATTGCAATGTTAGAAAGAGTTATAGATCAAAAATGAATTGCCTCTGTTATGAAATAACAAACTCTTACGTCTCTAATTCATTTCATACTCAAATTCAATTAAGACACTCAAACCAACACGAATAATTGCTACATCAAAGTTTTGGCGATGAGGTAATTCAAAACATTAATGAGCAACTTTGTTTACATCAACCCTTTCTCTTTCTCTTTCTCTTTCTCTCTCTCTCTCTCTCTCCTTTCATCATGTCAGATTTTCATTGGTTCAATTTTTTTTCAAACATCCCATCAAAACTGCTTTTTTCTCAATTTTTTTCATCAAATTCTATTTAGCATTTATTGCAAAAACTCAAAGTTACTACTTTACTGAAAATTAAATTCTTTCTTAAAGTAAAGTAATTTTGAATCTTTTTCATTGCTTTCTTTTTTTTGTATTTAAATTTTAATCCATCATTACTTTTTCGTTCTTAAATGCAAGAATGTCAGAGAGAGGGAGAGAGAGAGAGAAGGAGGAGGAAGAAGAGAAAAAGAAAGAAATGTAGAAGGTAAAATGTAGAGATGAAATCAATCAAACAAGAATATCGTTTGATAATTGATAATTTAATCAGATCAAACGAATACGATAAAGAGAGAAGGAAGGGGAGAGAAAGAGAAAGAGAAAAAGAGGGAGAAAGACTTTAGAGAGATGTAAATTGGAAAACAAAGAAAGTTTGGAATTAATTTTTATTACTTAGAGTAGAAAAGAAAACGAATAAAAATATGAAATGATTTTTGACTTACTGTAAATATTTGTAGAGAAGTAATAAAAATATTACAGGAAAAGATGTTGAAAGAAAAAAAAAAGAGAAAAGTAAGTTGTCCAAACAATTATGTCAACGACAGTTAACATTTTCTGTTTTCTTTATTATTTCTAAATAATTTACATCATTTCTTCATTCTCTTTCTTTTCTTCTTAATAAATTTTTAAATAATCTTTTTTGCACAAATTTTTAAATCGTTTTTGTTTGAATTTTTTAAATTTATTCGAAAATTTGATCATTGCCAATATTTTTGAATTATTTTATGCGAATGTTATGTTATCTCTTATATTTCAATTAATTCATATAATGAAATATTTCATTAATTTGATAAGAAAATTAATTTGCCTTTTTTCAAACATTTCTTAATTTGCAGTGCAACGATTGAAAAAATTTTGAAAATTATCGATTTTTTTGCATGGAAATGTTTGATTACATTTTGATTATACGTGATATGAGTTATCATTTGACAAAATGTGACCTTGTGTTTCTTGATCTTTTGTTTTATGCACAAAAATAATATTTTGATATAGTAGTTTGTAAAACAAAAATTAAAAATTCTAATTTTACTGCTTAATAAAACTTAGTGAATGTTTTACTTCTACTGTACGTGCGTTTCAGCTTATGCGTTTTTCCAGTTAAACCGATCAAAAATTAAGCGGACCGGAATGAGTTTTTAGGAAAGAACGCTTATCAAAAATGCCATTTCGATCAAGACTACTTTCAACTGGTGAAGTGATTCAGCCAGTTGAGCAAGTAATCGATCAAATGCAAGAGATGGAAAATCAATTAGATCCTTTATTCTTCAAGGTCATACATAATAACGATTTGATATTAATACTGATATATAAGTATATGAGTACAAATATTTTAGTTAAAACATGAAATGCAAGCGGAAAATATTGCAAATTTACAAGTGTAAATGTTGCAAGCATAAAATGCAAAATTTGTTTTTCCCTTACAAATATTCTTTAATTTATATATTATAACAGATGGTGGATTATTACTTTGACAAAGGAGCCACGGTGATTACGCCTAAACTTGTCGAAGAGCATCCATCACTTGAGATGTCAAAGGAAGCAAAACAAAAATTTGTTCGTGGTATTATTGCTATGATTAAACCGGCTAATAAGGTTTGTAAATCACTGAAATTGTATTTATAATTATCACTTATTGAGATATCATTTTGTCACTTCAACTGAAATTCCTGGGAAATTCCAGGGTTAAACTTGTCTAAAAATTATAATATTATATATGCAGGTACTGCATATAACATTTCCGGTTAGACGTGAGGATGGAACATTTGAGATGATTGAAGCCTGGAGAGCTCAACATTGTGAACATCGAACTCCAACAAAAGGAGGCATTCGTTATGCCGAAAACGTTGGTGAAGATGAGGTAATGCTAATGCCTGAAAATCCTAAAATCAAAAAATGTGACATCTCTAGAATTTTACATTTTGTTTGGTAGTTTTGAAATGTTTTGTAAATAAAAAGTATCGGCTTCAATATTTGAAATTATATTCTGAAGTGAAATTGCAAGATGTTAGCATCGTTCTAACATTTTGAAAAATTTTCGGTATAATAAGAAAATTAGATTCAAAATTTTTGAAAATATAAAAAATAATAGAATGTACGATCAGGTGAAAGCACTTTCCGCTCTGATGACATACAAATGTGCTGTGGCTAACATACCATTTGGTGGTGCAAAAGGTGGTGTAAAAATTGATCCAAGCAAGTATACCGAATATGAAATTGAAAAAATCACTCGTCATATGACAGTGGAATTTGCCAAGAAGGGATTTTTGGGCCCCGGAGTAGACGTTCCTGCGCCGGATATGGGTACTAGCGAACGAGAAATGAGCTGGATTGCGGATACATATGCTCAAACAATTGGATATACCGATAAGGATGCATATGCTTGTGTTACCGGGAAACCGATTGTTGCTGGAGGTATTGTTTCTTTTCCGGAAAGAAGAAAGAAAAAAACGGTCGAAGCAAAAAAAGCTGTTTATAATGATATGAAGTATGTTGATAGTATTCATCATGCAACCATATTAATCGGAAATGTTGAATTATTACAGGAATTCATGGCCGTACAGCAGCAACTGGACGTGGTGTATGGAACGGTTTAGAAACATTCCTGAATATTTCCGAATATATGGGTAAAATTGGTTTGAAACCCGGATTAAAAGGGAAGAAAATTATTGTTCAGGTATTGAAAGTGAAAATTTCTTCAAAAAATAGTGGCTTAATTGAAAGTTTTTATACTTCTTTAGGTGTAGTTGTTTGTAATTGAAGGGTTTTGGTAACGTTGGCACCTATACATCGCATTTCATATCAACCGGAGGTGGAATAATTATTGGTATTCAAGAGTACAACTGTTCGGTGTATAATCCAAGTGGATTTGATGTTGATGCATTAATCAAATATGCGGCGGAACATAAAACAATAGCGGTGATTTAATTTTTTATTCGTATTTTTATCAGATGAAAAAAGGACAAGGGAAAGACAGGAATAAGTGTGAAAATCCGATTTTCTGATCTTGATAAATGTAAATGATTTAGTTGTTTGCAACAAATGATAAATATTTAATATGAATATTTATAGGATTTTCCAGAAGCTGAAACATTTGAACCATATGGTGAATTGATTTATGAAAAATGTGATGTTTTAATTTTGGCGGCGTGCGAAAAAGTAGTCAATAAAAATAATGCAAGCAAAATCAAGGCTAAGGTATAAATCTCAATATTTGAAAGAGATGAACTAAAGGAAGATTGATTGGGTGATAAAAGTTATCATTCATATCACTTTATGATAGCCAAAAAAGAAACGAAGAATGGTGAAAGGTAGTAAAGGTTCTCCTGTGATAAAATTAAGATAATAGAGATATCCAGGATAGAATCATCAAAACATATGATAAAGTATACCGATGTACGAAAAGAATGCAGAAGTTTTGGTAGCATATAATTCAGGAGGTAAATAAAGGGGATAATGTAAAAAGCTAAGGTACTATCATTTCTCATGTGGTGTGTTTATCAGAACAATTATCATGGCTAGGACTAGAGAACAAAGATTTGCGAAAGACTTACTGCGAGTGTCACAAATGTGGGTGTATTCTTCTTTTAGCAATGGATCATAGCGTGCGCAAAATTGGGCCTACCCCTTACTTCTAAGATTCATCTGCCAGGTCCTAGCTAGCTAGGACGGTGACAGTGAAGTCTTCAGGACGTAATCTTTGTTAGATATCCTTCTCTGAGATGGATGTCGTTACAGTCTTGAACGAGCTTCATCTGCCCGGTTTGAAGTTAGAGTTGTTCGTCTCTTAGGATGGTAACTGCTAGCAAATCTATCCTGTCTGTGGACACACTTTGTATGACCCATCAGTTGACACGAGTTTGATATGGGAGACCCTACTGGAGGCATATACCACCCCAGCATAACTCGCAACCTCATTATGGCACCAAGCTTTTCCTCCAGGACAAGGGGTCTCTTAGAGAAGATCAGAACAATAATAACATATAAAAGACATACTTATTCAAATTAAGAATATAACAATCACTTCTAAATAGGTATTAAAATTGAACGAATTTAATAAATATAAAATTGATGTAGTAACAGATAAGGAATTATTTTGCTACAGGTTATCGTAGAAGCCGCAAATGGTCCAGTAACACCGGCAGCTGATAAAATTTTATTAGCTCGCAATGATTGCATCGTTATTCCTGATTTATTCATCAATAGTGGTGGTGTTACGGTATCATTTTTCGAGTGGTTGAAAAATTTGAATCATGTCAGTTTCGGTCGACTTACTTCAAAGCATGAAATTGATTCCGGTTACGACTTACTTGGTAAAATTGCTTTCCTTTATTCATTCGCTTTTTGCTTTTTAGACTTCCTTCGTTTACCTTTCTCTTTTTTCTTTTTTCAGTTCTAACTCATTGTAATATTGTTCCAACTTCTTTTAAAGTGCGAATTTATATAATATTTATAATTTCCAGCAAGTGTTGAAGAATCATTGAATCGTGAATTTCGGAAAAATATCAAGATCGAACCGTCGGAAGGATTGAAAAGCCGAATCAGTCATAAATCTGAGGAAGAAATCGTTTATTCCGGTTTAGAATTCAGTATGCAGAAATCAGGTGTGCATGAAAAGTTATTATTGAAAAGTTTTTTTTCCATCTCTTAGCTTTTCTTCTTCTTTGGCTTAATAAGTGAACTTAGATTTTTTTTAATAAGTAGACCTAGTAAAGCTATTTAGTAATCTAAATAAGTTAATCTAATTTTCTTGTACCAGTGATTTAAGGATTAAATCATTCTAAGCTACCATACTTAGAATAAGCGGAAGGTAGAAACGAAATAATCTCAGCATTTTTTAGGTTTTAATTCATACAAAATAATTTCGGTACTTTTTAGGTTTTAATTTATACAAACCATTTTACATAAATATAATTCTCTATACATAATTTCTTCTTTTTTTCCTGATTCTAAAGTAATTTCGTAATTTTATCCTTCCCTAATTTGCAGATAAATTTTTACCGATTATTTTCGATTGCACTGCTTGCAATCTGCTAATCGGAATAAATCTATCTCAGTTCAGTTATTTTACAGTCACCCATTTTCAGCTCAGGATATTATAAATACGATACAAAAATACAATCTTGGCTTGGACATACGTACTGCTGCTTATGCGACAGCTATAGAAAAAATATACAATACTTATCGTTCATTTGGTTTTGCATTTGCATAATTGAAAATTTCGTATAAAAAGGCGACTTACATGGAGATAATTAATGAATGTTGGGAAATAAATGCACGTGGGAAATGCTAAATTTAAATGTCGGTTTTAATATCAGTTTTATTTAGTGTATGGTAAATACTAAAATCAAACTGAAAAAAATCAGTACAAGTTGGAAGTCCTTTATATCACCTTATTTTTTTTTATTGCAGTACAAAGTTTGAATTGAAATATAGGTACAAAAAGTAATTATGCATTGGAAGTCCGTAATTACCAATCGATTGTTGTCACCAGTTGTTTTTAATTCGTTGTAACAAAATTCAAGTATACTTGGAAAATAAACATTTCATCTCTTTGTTTTATTGTTGTTACATTGACAATACAAGGAAAAAAAAGTTATAAAAGAAAGAAAATGGAAAGAGAAACTTTGAAGTGAATTAAAGTGATTAACAAAAATTTGTTAAAAAAATTGCAAAATTTTAAATGTAGGAATTTCACGTAAAAAAGGACGATTACTTGACAGTATTCAACGAATGCCAGCAAATAATCACTTGCAAGTATAAAAAATGAAGTTGAAACGATGTCTAAAATTTAAAATATGATAAACATTAAAATCGGATGGAAAAAAGTTAGTACTGTTTGGATGTTTTATTCCTTACTTTATAATTATTAAGGCAATAAAAATATTTATAAGAAATATTTATACAGTTCAAGAAAACTTTAGTAAAAGTACAACAAATGTCAACGATTTGCTTCAATCGTAACAAAGGCTGAGGGCTATTTTTGCCTCTCTGGTTGATAATACCTCAAACTTAGACATTATTACGATAAGTTTGTTAATATAACAGTGAACTCTGTCGGGAAAACTTCGAAAATCATAATCCAAATTTCCTGCCGGATCATGGAAATTAAAGCTACGTTCAAACAAAACTTCCATAATATTCAACAAACAGAGTGACGAAATCTTACAAGTAAAATTAAAGCAATGAAAAGGATATAAGCTGACAATGGACAGCGTAAAACAAAAAACATCTCAGTACCTACACAATGAACAGTGCCAAAGGGTAGCCATACCTCCATGATAACCCCGATGGAGCTTGCAAAGCTCCTCCCCTAATCCTTATATATATATGTCATCCCGATGGCTAAAAATTTATGAAACTTTATAAAGAAAATTCCAGCGAAGAAACAGTATTTTGAAAAATTACAAATTTGAAAAATCATTAAAAAAACTTGGCAAGTTTGACCCACAACCAACGATATCTTTGCATATCCGCCACCACTGGACAACAAACTACGATATTCTTCTATCCACTAAATACATTTCCCGTAACGTATTCGCAACTCAACGACCTATCAACTAACCGACAGTCAAATTATTGTCCAAGACAACGACAAGGAGTTTGTTAGTTGATCATATTGCTTTTTGTATAATTCGTTTATCATTGCTTATCAACTCATCGTGTTACATACATGCATATTTTATACCCTTTTTCTTGTTGTTAACTAGTAGTACTGTGCAAGAACAATATTACTTCCCGAATAAATCTGTATCGCCGAGAAAGGAGTTCAAGAGAAAAACAATTTCCCAACAAACTCAGCAATTATAGTCTTGATAAGATAAATTAATGACGATAACAATATGAACAGGAGATTCAATTACTCTTGATACTGCCTATCCAACCAACCTAGCTAAAATACATCTTTAAAATAGTCTTGGTGCTTAGGATCCTCCGCTTCATCGAGTAAGGACGATTCTGGTGCAATTCTGAGATTGTGGCACTCTTTGTTAGAGCATATAGGCACAATGGACGGACAATTTTAGCTTACCTTTCACATTGCGCAGTATATCTCATACATACAACATATTATATCCAGCAGTATCAAATTAATACTACAAGAATTACTGATTCATTGTTTCTCGTCGCGATTTCAGCAATAATAAGTAATAATTTTACATGAAAAAAAAGGTACTTAAAGTAATTCATGAAATCATAAAGATCATTTTCATTTTATTAGCATTTGGTGATTAGCTAAGATGCCGGCACCGGTACATGCGCAAAGGTCACGAATGGTTCGTCGTGTTCCACCAGTGAGACGTAACGTCAAACGCAAAGTTGTGCGTTCAGTACGGTGGGCTCTTAACAGTGACCCAAATATCTCCTAGAGGAATCCCCCATCATCTCCTTACCCGATATGACATTGTTTGGAATGAACACAACACAAATTTGAAATTCCAAAAAGATTTAGATGTAATATGAATTCAAATATAAATGACAGTTAATCGGGTTTGTCGCATCCCTTTACCATCAGTAATCTTCAATTTTTGTCTGTTTCCGGTGTAGTATGCTAACTCAGTGGTATTTGATGTGGTGCAAATGCAACACGCATCTTACGTTTCAGGCGTCGTCGTCGTCCACGTTCACAATCCAGTTCTCGCTCTCGTTCATCCAGTAGCACCAATAGTTCACGCTCACGTTCACATTCACCTCGAAGTCATAGTCATAAACATAAACAATCTCGAAAGCGTCGTCTTCCACACAGTTTACTAAGACGCTCAAACTCTGTGATGCCACTATATGGTACCAATGGTACCATGATAGTTGGTTATGTCCGACCGTGTCGTGCCGGTGTCAGATTGTGGTATCCAAACTTGCCAAGTTTTTCTTAATGATTTTTCAAACTTGTTATTTTTCAAAATACTGTTTCTTTGCTGGGATTTTCTCCATGAAGTTTCATAAATTTTTAGCCATCGGGATGACTGAATAATCAAATGATTGTATGGACCAGAAGAAGTACGAAAGTTAAACGACGAAACACATTTTTTCTACTAATATCTGATTCTTGATCCTGTGACATATCATCACTTCCCATTGACAAAATAAACTGAATGTAATGAAGTGCCTGGATTCCGTCATAATTTCGTGGGAAAAAGAATGAATCTAAAGATAACCTCGACATCCAAACAAATTTCTGAATCCCAGACCCATATTTAAATCTTCCTTAGTACTCCTCACCTCTCCAACACATTTCTACGTGTTCTTATCCAGTAACCAATCTCCTAACTCATCGGAAACCCGCACACCCAATACCTGACCTCCCCGAATGCCGAATACCACCGCCTTATGGCCGAATATCACCGAACCCATACCCATCCGAAAAGGAAGTTCTTCCTTTAAAAATGATCACAACTCGAAGAAGACTGCACCATTCATTGTACTTTGCCAGTAGAAATCCGTAAAACTTGAGACCCGCTCGAACCTGTTAAATTTATTTATTGCTGAGCACATACTGCTAATACTTTATTTTGGGATGAGTGAATACAAACGACGGGAACATATTACATAGCAGAGAATGATCGAGGAATCATGTCTATTTGTATTCCTGTCGTTGTCTTCCATCGTTTTAGAGATTGTACTCGATTGGAAGGTTCTTACGGCGAACCATACCATCACCCTGGAACCACTCACGGCGGAACTGCTTAGCGGCACCATCTGGTGTGTTAGTCCATTCGATGGTAATACGATCGTTGTTGATATCTTCCTTCGACGCATCGAATGTATCGCATGAAACCGCCATAAGAACATTTTCCTTCGGGTCCAGGACACCACAGGGTGGATCGACACCTAGACGGCGCATATTGGTTGTCTTAATAGCCCAACCAATGCGACGACCACCAGCATTGGTAATCTAAAAAATTTGTTAAAGCACACTTGTATCTGTGGGTTTATAATACCATGCTCTTCAATGTAAGCTGTCACCATCCCTGACCCTATCCCCATTTATCCGATGGTCCACCAATAAAGGGCTACCTTAATGTGGTAGGTATGCTTGTCGTCGTACGGAGCATTGAAGACGATTTTCGACCCCGGTTGAGTATGGATATCACCCGGTGGAACTGACTGCGCCATTAGGAGATCCCGGTAAAGTCTTCGATTCGACTGCAACCAAATAATTACCAAGTTGATTTTCAAGCTTTTATACACTTTTTATTTTGGAAAAATCTGCATAATTTAAAATATATTTGCATACAAAACCACTCGAATTTTTTCGTCCGTAACTTAGCAAAATATAATATGAAATGAAGAGAAATAAGAAAAATTATTTCAGTTTTGCATAGTCAAAAAAAATCCATGGCGAAAAAAATTTGCATAAGAAAAACTTTAACAACTTCCACTCCCACCTTGATATTTCTGTGAATACTCAAATTTAATGTGAATTCAATATTCTAATTTGAAGAGTAACTCGTGTAAACTTCACATGTTTCAGTTATTATTTAAATTTATATATGTTATTGGGAAATGTTAATCTGTTGAATTGAACTCGTTTCTCAGGGATATAGCTTTATTCGGGATGTAATGTTGTTCTTGTACAACATCACTAGTTAACTACAAAAAGGGGTGTAAAATATAAAATATTATGGTATAAGCAGTGATAAAAAGCAAGTCATATGATCAATAACAAATCCCTTGTCACTGCCTTCGATAATAATTTGACTGTCGGTTAGTTGATAGGTCGTTGAGTTGGAGAAATGTAACGAGAAATGTATATAGCAAATACTAAGAATACCGTAGTTTGTTGTGGCAGATCTGGAAAGATATCGTTGTAGTTCAGTCGTGGACAAACAAAGGTTCAGTCGAAGAGGATCTATCGTCTGCTCGCTTGTAAAAAACTGAGCTGTTTTGGATGTATATATATAAAAGGATTAGGGAGGAGTTTTGTAAGCTCCATCGGGGTTATCATGGAGGTATGGCTAGCTTTTTGCATTGTCCATTGTGTAGATACAATGATATTATTGTGTAGATACTGAGTCGTTTTTGTGTTATGGTGTCCATTGTTAGATCTTTATTGCTTTAATTTCACTTACGAGATTTCGTCAACCCGTCTGGTGGATATTGTGGTAATTTAATTTAATTTCGGTAATCCGATAGGAAATTTGTATTATGACTTTCGGAGTTTTTCTGACATGTGTAACATCTTCATTTCCTTCACATACTCACAACTGAATTCTTCAAATTTTGCTAGTTTGTCGTGGTGGCAAGATTTAACTAATATTGTCACAACTTTTTGCTGTGATACAGGAATGACAGACAACATGGTGGTAAGATTTAGAGAAGACAATCGACGCAAGGAACTCATAACTTATTAGTTAATTTAAATGAACTTTGCCGAAATTGATAAAAAAAACTTTTGAAGAAAAATTTATTCAAGTGTAGGAAATGGATAGATTTGTAGTTCTTTTCAACAAAAAATTCCATTTTTGATTTTACTATCATAACCTCTTTTTCTTCTCTTTCCCTCTTTTATTTTCTCTCTCTCCCTCTCATCATTCAGGACCGGAAAAGTACTGAATTTGACTGTGATACTAACAGTTCTTATAACGTAATATTTTGCAATTAGAGAAGGTAAATACAGAACTTGATCTTCTCAAAAATTTTGCGCAACCTGATTTAAATTAAACCAATTCAACAATGATAAACTGAAAGACCAAAAGTAAGTCCCAAATCATTCACTAAATCAATTTGAATTTGAATGGATCAATTATTTTGATAGGAAATGATCAACGGGTAATACTGTCATGGGATAGAAACTCCACATATATATCAATACTTCACTAATAACCCATAGGGGATATAGAAATGCTTTTTATTGGAGAATTTATTGAATTATTGATTATTTTCGGATGGAATTGTTCACAAATCATGCACAATTAATAATACGTAATTATTTGTGCCGATAGTTTTATCACTCTATCACAGTTGAGTTTATTTGAATAATCGGACAATTCATTTATTCCAGTGATAAGGGACAATGTTGATTGAATTCGAATGATTACACATTTGAGCAGATGGGTATGAGATTACGCATTTTACAGGTTATATTCGATCGGAAGGTTCTTGCGGCGAACCATGCCATCACCCTGGAACCACTCACGGCGGAATTGCTTGGCGGCACCATCCGGTGTGTTAGTCCATTCGATGGTAATACGATCGTTGTTGATATCTTCCTTCGACGCATCGAATGTATCGCATGAAACCGCCATAAGAACATTTTCCTTGGGGTCCAGGACACCGCACGGCGGATCGACACCTAGGCGGCGCATATTGGTGGTCTTAATAGCCCAACCAATGCGACGCCCACCGGCATTGGTAATCTGAAAAATTTATTAGGGCGAAAACATGGTGATCCACACTTGCTGTATCAAAGATGGTTCTGGTTTATGGTACCACGCCCTCGAACAAACCGCCACCATTCTTGATCCACCATCATTTACTTGATAGTTGATGACCAGTGGAGGTTTACCTTAATGTGGTACGTATGTTTGTCATCATACGGAGCGTTGAAGACGATTTTCGTCCCTGGTTGGGTGTGGATATCACCTGGTGGAATCGATTGCGCCATTAGAAAGAATAAAGGGGTACTTATCCCAGCAGTAAAATCATTAACTCAAAGAATATGCTTGTTCATCATCCTTTATACTTATAATTTTTTTATTTTCTGCATATATTAAGTTATAGCGACAAGCCTTTGTTGTATATGCAGGGAAATATAAAATATGCAAATTTGTTTTTGTGATTAGCAAGGATCATGCCAGTTTATATTTTTTGTTTAATTATTCAAGTTTTGGAATGGGAATAAATTTTGAATTATGTAAGGAATTTGAATGTAAATTTATTATTATGGAAATTTATTTATAAGATGATTATAACCGTCGAACTAAATATAACAATGAATGAGGAGAGCATCAAAAGGATTTACAAAATTTTAAATTTGCATCTTTTCAGAATATCGCAATTTCATATTAACATTTCAGGTAAATTATTTCGAATTATGCAACTTTTACTTTTTATGCAAATGTTTAGAAATGTATACATAGATAAAAAATGGTAGCATTCTTCCATTGTTCACTGGAAAAAGGATTTGTAGCAAATAGAGATAAAATATGGCACAATCGGTTCCACCTGGTGATATCAATACCCAGCCCGGGAGTAAAATAGTATTCAATGCCCCTTATGACGACAAGCATACTTATCATATTAAGGTAACACTACAACTATGAAATATTACTTTCAGATTCCTTTTTTCTTTCACCTTTTTTAGATCACAAATGCTGGCGGTCGTCGCATTGGTTGGGCTATTAAGACAACCAATATGCGCCGTCTAGGTGTCGATCCACCCTGTGGTGTCCTGCACCCCAAGGAAAATGTTCTTATGGCGGTTTCATGTGATACATTCGATGCGTCGAAGGAAGATATCAACAACGATCGTATTACCATCGAATGGACTAACACACCAGATGGTGCCGCCAAGCAATTCCGCCGTGAGTGGTTCCAGGGTGATGGCATGGTACGCCGCAAGAATCTGCCTATTGAATACAATCTATAAAAACAGTGGTACTATCAACTAACAAGAAAATGATATTATCGTTATCACAATATCTTTTCCTCCTTGCAATTCAAGTTTAAATTGCATATATTCTGGATTGGATGCTAATAAATGATTTACAGCGATACGTCTGAATAAAAATTTTGACATATGAAGTTGCAGCTGGCTCAATACAAATATTGTCCGGCGATATATTTCCAGTAGTTTTAAATGATATGAGATAATTTGCCGTCATCATAATGATAATTACTGATTATTAGTTCGGTGCTTTGTTTTAGTGCTATTATTTTGTTTCTAATGATTTGCAATGGTTTATGACTGGTAAATAATACAATTTTTCTGAGGTTAAGAGGCATTGGCAGTTCTTCATTATCTCGGAAAGCGGAGAGACGTAATTTTTTTGTTTTTTTTCTTTAGATATGTTAACAACCATTGGTGACTGAAATCCTAATGAACTTTCCAGAATCATTTCCGATACCAGTAAATTCTGTATTATAGGTATCGTTTTAACGATTATCAGAATAAAATTTTCTTAGATTTGGGATCTCTCGTTTACCATAAATGAAACCATTTTTTAAATCATTTTTAGTTGAAATGATGCATTTGGACTGATTTGATATTGTGTGAAATGATTGATAGTATTTTTTCATCATGGAATAAAGATATGATCCCGTTTGTGACAGAGCGGGAAAGAAATGTAAAATCTAACTCAGTGTTGCACTATACTCGGTTGAATCATAAGTGATACCTAAGGATGACTGTTAATTTGGTAATTCATGTTGACATTACCCCACTTGATCATCTTTTATCACATATATTAAGCTTGCAGAAACAGGAAGTTATGGGCTTGTTGAATGTAATTCCTGTTTCATTTTTGATGATAAGAAGTGATATGGAACCTTCCGGATGATGGGATTGGGATGAACATGATAATGGGATTCATCACCACCATCATCATCAAAGTTATCAATGCTGTCAGCAACACTTTAATGAAGTTAAACGCCAGAGTATCGTTAACTATATGATACGATCATTTGATATGTAAAAGGTCATCCTACTAATTCAGCAACATCATTGCCTGAACTGAAGAAAAAACGGAACATCAGAAATGCTCAATCAAACTGTTCAAGCATATTTTATCAAAATTTGGTAAATTGTAAGATACTTTTCCAAATGTGCATTACTGCAATCTCAGCAATGTTCAAAGAAAGGGTTAAAAGGTAAAATAAAAAAGAACAGATCATATAGAAAGGGTAGGTAATAGTAATTATTTCAGAAATACTGGGAAAAAAAAGGAAGAAAAAGAAGCAAAAACGAGAAAGGGCACGTGAAAAAAGGCAATATCACAGAATAGGTTATCGTAGAAAGCTTAGAAATACTGACAATTTCGAGGAAATGCTTATTTTACAATAAAAACTTCGAATTATTTGAACTTTGTGGCTTAAATATTTTAAACAATTGTAATTGTAATGTAATTGATGAGGAGAGATCATTGTTAAAAGTTATAGCACTTAATAGTGCTCCTGGAATAGTGCTGATCTGGATTAGCGGAGAAAAAGAATAGAAGAAAAAAAGTTGAAAGTTGTGACAAATATAAAGATGAAGAAATCAAGAGGGATAACATAATTAATTGAGATCATCATAGCAATAGAAAATAGAACAGAGTAGGTGAGATACAAATTAATTAAATCATCGTACTAAGCTCTGAGTAACATTCATTTTAAGCTTAATAAATTAGTCTTTCATACTGTAACAATATGTCATAGGATTATAATAATCTCATATTTAGAGAGAGCAAACAAAGATGAAAAATGAAAGGACAAATTTTTGGAATTTTAATCGTAATTATTGAAATAGTTTATCCAGAAGAACAAGATGATGGTCATTCAAGCTTCCAACAGAGAAACGGAAGCAAACGTTAATTAGTCTGATAATTTTTTTTTCCAACGAAATTATAATTTTATCAAAATACCAAAGTCAAAATTTGGATAGAAAGTCCGATATTGAAAATCAAACATCTAACTATGAAAATTATGTGAACTAAAAGTGAAGAAAATTCATACTTCAAACTTTTCTAACATTTATCTTTCTGCTCCAAAGATTTGTTGAAACCTTAAAAAGGTCACTATGATTAGTGAGAAAAAAAGAAATAGAAAGAATGGAAAATGAAATTGAAGTATATAAACATGAATGATTGTTTATGCTAACAATATTTCTCAGTTAATGTGAACTGATTTGCTCTTAATTAGTATATAGAATATGCAAAGGCATATTAGTAATTATATCTGAAAGTTTTTAGCAAATATGAGTAAAGCTCGTGATTTAATCAGTATTGGTCAGACGATGCAACGTTTCTTCTTCGGGTAATGGTTGCCGACGCCATCGCGGATTTAGAATGATCATTAAAATACACATAACATACATAAGGATGGAAATACCGAGCAAAGTGCTGAGATACTGCTGACTGCAGAAAACATGATCAACGATCCAACATCTGTAATGAATATCACGAATTAATTTCAACAGAAATATTCAGTAAATGATTATGTGCTACATTGAAAACTATTCAGATGTAGAGGATAATATTAAATAATTCGACACAATTACAAAATAACTTACTAATCATTTCGTTATAAAATACAAATGCACGAGCTAATTGAACACTAAACTTTATAGCTAATTATTACTTACTATTTCTCCGCTAATATTTTATTTATTACTACAGATCATTTCCATCTATTAATATAAATTTTTTGTTATTAATGTGAATTTTAACTACTTATTATTACTATTAACGAATAGTTTTATTATTTTCTATTTCTTATTGCAGAACTTTTAATTTTCACTTTTTTATTGCCATTACTTGCTTTGGATATGGCGCTATATACATTCAATTACTTCATTCAGAAACAATAAAAAGTTTGAAAAGTATGAAATCAAACGAATTGAAATGAAACAGTAGGACAGATAAAGATCAAAGATAATTATCACGAAGTTTAGAGAGAGTATAAAATTGAAAAAATCAAAAGGTGGTACATTCAACGATGATTTATTTTACTTACTTGTGATGCCAGGCGGCTTGCTCAGAAATACCCATTACCGCTGTAATCGCAACGAAGCATATGATGATAAGACCAAATGCTTGATGATATGGAAGGATAAGTTGACGTATCGGTATACTCCATCCAGGGAAGAAGAATGTCGTGAAGCCGAATAAATACTAAAATAAGACAAAAACAGGCGCAGCAAATTGTCCTCATAAACATCATTACTGAGTATCAGTTGCCGATTTAAAAGCTGAATAGTTATATTAGGAATTCTGACTATGTAATACTTTAAAAATTATTGATTTGCGGATTTCAATTAAATCTTCCTGATACCTTCGTATTTCTACAAGTTTTCGAATTTATTTGACGTCATTTTAATCTAGTTATTCTTTGAAAAGTAAGAAGTAAATTTTTAGTTTAATCTTCCTAACTCAGTTAAAACTCAAAGTCTAGCTTTAATTTCCAGCCTAATTTCGTTTACTATAGAAAGTTTCATTCAAGTGCAATCAAGAGTTTGAAAATTATCGCCAGATGCCTACATTGTCATCTTTCAAACTTCCAATCCGGAATTTTGCAGTCACTAAGATGCCGTATTTTTCAAGTGTCGTAGAATTCTTCTATTCTGCTTTATAAATTCTCCTAAAAAAAAATTTTCAATATGTACTAAAAGTTATACCTGTATGAAAAAAGCGATGACAGAGATCAGTCCAATCCATGAATGTAACGAATACATATTTGGTAACGGATCCAGTTCACCTTCATCATTTTTGTGATAATTATGTGAATCAAATACTGCTTTCAATGCAACCACAGCAAAGATAAGTACCATCGAGTGTAGTGTTAAATGAAGCAATTTGGAGAAACGTTTTCGCTCATATCGAAAGACCCGATAGACCAATATTCCTGGAAATGAATTAAAATAGATAAAATGAAGTGTCATAATGAGCTATGAGCTCTAAAATATTCATATCACAAGTATTGATTAGCAGAAAGCAGATAATAACATTCCATCTTAATCATTGTTTTTTACTAAAAAAAAAAAAACAAAATTCTTCAGATACTAGCATTACTTTGGGATACTGATAATCAACCATGACTGATAACGAATGATTGCGATAACATCACGAAATATTTTACGTATATGAAGATTACAATCTACTTTTAATCTTATAGCAAGAAAGAAAAAAAAACAATCAGAGTCAAAGGATAAGTTGCTTAATGAAGCTTGTATAAGTTAAGAAAAAATTACCGTCACCAGTTAAGAAGATCATACCCATTACCATGAATGTGGGATGGTAATGAAACTGAAGATCGGTTGTAAATCCATCTTGAAAATCAGCCATCCATACTGCGACAAGAAAAATCGCACAAATGCCTAAAATTTAATTTTTATACAAAAGAAATTTTATACAAAAGAAATTCAATCTGAAAAATTAAAACGTAATTTAGGGACGAAAAATAAAGGGGAGGGGATTTTCTGGATAAAATTAATCATATTTATTTTCATATTTAATACATCAATATGAACTGGACTTCGTTATTAAGGAAAACTTTAGGACTAACCGAAAACTTGCGAAGCACCAACGACAATATTAAACAAACGCATACTTTGCTGATCATTTAAAACTTTGAATGATTCTTGAAATAATGACATGGTTCGAAAAAAAAGTGCCCTGAAATTCGAAACTTTCTCTCTAAATGAAAAGTTTTTGTAAATAAAGACAGATAATTGAAATCGGCTAAAATTAATTACAGAGGTTCGACTTTTTTTTATATAAATATACATATAATAACAATGACAACAATAATAAATATCGAATTATTTATTGTCAAGAAAATTATCTTTCCATGTTCCTTCGTTCATCTCCGTAACCCTGGTATAGAATGAGACAAAGAATAATCATTTCTAGATATCGATTTGGTTAGAGTAAATACCATTCTTGATTATCGACCTACTATAAGATTTCGAGTTAATTCTAAACAATCCAATCAAAATTATCATCCATCAATCTTAACATCGCGAATTTCCGGAAAGATCGTTACATCAATGGATATATCATATCCAGATCGGTGTACTGCTATCATCCTCCATAAGAACTCTATTTGATATCGAACACA